CTGACTGAGGCTGTTGCAACACTGACTGACTGAAGCTGTTGCAACACTCAGGGACTGAGGCTGTTGCAACACTCACGGACTGAAGCTGTTGCAACACTCACGGACTGAAGCTGTTGCAACACTCACGGACTGAAGCTGCTGCAACACTCATGGACTGAAGCTGTTGCAACACTCACTGACTGAGACTGTTGCAACACTCACGGACTGAAGCTGCTGCAACACTCACGGACTGAAGCTGCTGCAACACTCACGGACTGAAGCTGTTGTAACACTCACGGACTGAAGCTGTTGCAACACTCACGGACTGAAGCTGTTGCAACACTCACGGACTGAAGCTGTTGCAACACTCACGGACTGAAGCTGTTGCAACACTCACGGACTGAAGCTGTTGCAACACTCACGGACTGAAGCTGTTGCAACACTCACGGACTGAAGCTGTTGCAACACTCACGGACTGAAGCTGTTGCAACACTCACGGACTGAAGCTGTTGCAACACTCACGGACTGAAGCTGTTGCAACACTCACGGACTGAAGCTGTTGCAACACTCACGGACTGAAGCTGTTGCAACACTCACGGACTGAAGCTGCTGCAACACTCACGGACTGAAGTTGTTGCAACACTCAGGGACTGAAGCTGTTGCAACACTCACGGACTGAAGCTGTTGCAACACTCACGGACTGAAGCTGTTGCAACACTCACGGACTGAAGTTGTTGCAACACTCACGGACTGAAGCTGTTGCAACACTCAGGGACTGAAGCTGTTGCAACACTCAGGGACTGAAGCTGTTGCAACACTCAGGGACTGAAGCTGTTGCAACACTCAGGGACTGAAGCTGTTGCAACACTCACGGACTGAAGCTGTTGCAACACTCACGGACTGAAGCTGTTGCAACACTCACGGACTGAAGCTGTTGCAACACTCACGGACTGAAGCTGTTGCAACATTGACAAGCTTAAGCAACACTCGCAGACTGAGGAAGCAACAAATACCAACTAAAGAAGGAACAGCAACAAGGACGAGAGAAAAGGTAAAATGCGGATGAAAAAGAGAGGAGAGAGAGACATGGGAGAGAGAGAGAGAGAGACATGGGGGAGAGAGGGAGACAGGAGAGAGAGCTCCCAACTCCTCCATTTTCATGCCTCCTTGCTTTCCTCAATTACTTTAAGCAACAGAACGAAACAAATAAGAGAGAGATGGAAAATAAATAACAGACAGGAAGACGAAAACATAAACAAGAGACAATATACTGCGAGAGATCATGGCTGTGAAACAAGAGACAGTAAACAATTCACACCGAAATCACTGTGTTATGATAGTGAACTAGGAAGTGCCAGGGGCGCCGAGGGCGGCCAGCTCCGGGAACACCGGCCCCAATCAAACAAAAGATAATCACGCCAATTAACCTCAGGAACTCCCTAATTGAATCTTCATCCCTGACAGCTATAGAATTTGAGGCTCTGATCTTTATGTGATTTGGGTCGTTGGCTTCCAAACTATTTAAAGACTTTTTGTCGGGGTGTTTTTGGGAGGGATTCGAAAGCCTAATATTTAGAACCTACGACTCCCAGCTGTTATTTAAAGGGATTCGAACCTTAACGTGGAATGTGCATTCCTGATTTGTTAATGGACCCACTGAGCCGGCGGTTGCTGGCCGTGGAGACTGCACCGATACATATGCATGTTTGGTAATAAATATGTTTGCCGCTGACCTTGCTAGAGCAATATTGCTATGCAGTTTGATCAGTTTAGATAGTGTGCTCAAGGCAATCAGGGGCCGGATTCGTCAGGCAGTTACGCAGGTGCCAAGGAAATATGTCCTTATCCAACCCGTTCTTGCACTTTTTTTAAGTCAATATTGACTTATTAAATAAGTGCATATGTGACATACTAATTTATTGTGAATATTTTAGTTTACCTTGAAAAGCTTCATAGAAAACACCGACCTTACCTTACCTTCTTAGTGTGTTAAGATAAGCATCTTATTGCTTCGTAATTACAATTATTACTTAACCTATTACAGGTATAGGTTAAGTAATAATTGAAATTATGAAGCAATAAGATGCTTATCTTAACATACTAAGAAGGTTAGGTAAGGTCGGTGTTTTCTATGAAGCTTTTCAAGGTAAACTAAAATATTCACAATAAATTAGTATGTCACATATGAACGTATTTAATAAGTCAATATTGACTACAAGAAAGTGCGAGAACGGGTTGCCTTATCTCGTTCTTGGCGATCACGTCGAGATTCAACAAGCAGTTTACTGATGTCGAGTTTCCAGAAGCACACGTCCTAAGTGCTAAGCAATAGGGGGTCCCGGTAGTACAGTTGGGTTCGTTCTCGACACACAATCGAGAATTGCGGGTTCGAATCCCGGGCGCGATAGAAATGGTAGGACACATTTCCTTTTCCACCTAATGTCTCTGTTCACCTAGCAGTAATTAGGTGCTCAGCAGTTAGTCAGCTTCTTGTGGGGTTGCAGCCGGGCCGGGTCAGTAATTCAGCCTTGGAGAGGGGGGGGGTGAGTAACCTCGATATAAGTCTTGGTTCTAAGACTTATATCGAGGTTCGATATAAGTCCTCTAATATACAGAACCTCGATATAAAACCTCTAATATCCTGTGTGTATATGTGTGTCTATAACTTGTATTAAATATGAATTGCATGAAAATACTTTCAAGTCATTATATAGATAATTGGTAATTATAATATTAATTGTTAATCAGTTAAACTAATGGACGCTAATTATTACTACCGACGCAGCTCCCAGCACCTGAAAGCCTTCGTGGATGGAGTCTCCATGCACACACTATATTCGTTATGTTGCGTTTAAACTCATATTAAAAATGCCTTGTACGACAAGACGCCAGTAATACGATAGCAGGTATTGTAGAAGTAGTCAACATGTCAATATTAACTACCATTCATTTAAACTAAGAAAACTCTAATGATTGCCAAAGACAATGTCTAGTTCCTGAACCCATTATGTGTAACCCTTTCCACTACCGCCCACAAGATGGGTATGGGGTGCATAATAAATGAACTAAACTGAAACTTTTTCCCTCCAATTTATTTTCTCTACTAGATATAATTCATCCGTAATTAAAGTTACCAATTACTTTATTAATTACAGGCTATTATATAATTACAGAATTATATTAAATAATTCATGTCAAATCATATACTGAAGATTAACCCAATGAATTCTAATTACGAAACATTCTAACCTAACTTTGTGAATGTTTGTCCACATTCTTGTATATACTCTGAAATGCCTCAAACGAGTTGAGTAACAATATAAAATGCTAATTAATAAAGAATAAATCTTTACCTAGTCACACCTAGGCCGATATATTTGAGTACAGTACAGATTATAATGTGCTTTAATACTTTTATTAATTATAGTAAGATACATTACACAGTCCGGCCGAGGTCAGCAGCAATGACTCACTACTGTCCGACAACACAACTAAATTATGCAACATAATGTATATTGTAAATGCAACAATGAATAACTCTCCATAAGGAATACCTCTGTTTGCACCCAAAAATGTACAGTAAGGTAGACATGTAGTATATTCCTGCATGCTCGAAGTTTATAAATACAACAGACATGCGATGTAGTCTTGCTTGCACCAACACAGTATCATACAAACGAAGACATATTCCAGAATGCAGCAAGACATGTATAATAAAACAAGGCTGCATCATACAACAAGCGAGGAACGCCAGGACTGGCTGCTCACCAACAGCTGCTGTGAAAAATCCGGCAGGCTCAAGAGTCTTAAAGGTCCATTGTCAACATTTGTCAAGACTGGAGAGTATTGGGCCCAGCTGACCTGCAGGTGGGGGAGAAGAGGGATGGGGAAGGGAGAGGGGAGGGGTAGAAGCAGGGAGGGAGAGAGAGGGGAGGGGGGAAGATGTAGGCCATGAAAGGGAAGAGGTGCACAAGATTAAAGGAAACTACATAAAGCCTATTAGCCAATACATGGCAGCTAATATTTATATCCACTCAAACTCATCTATATCTGTAAAATATAATGTATGTCTATGTCCAACTGTCCATGGTTGGAGGCCGGATACATGGGTTTAGCCTCACACAACTTTTCTGGATTCCAAAATATTGTCAAGACCGTGAAACCTCTCGATCTACACATGTTGTTTAACAATGACAATACAATTGGAAAATTAATAGTTACACACTTCCCTCGTAGTGATAACTGGGTCATTTACAAAATAGCTTGTAAAGATTGTAATACATTCTATATATGTCAAGCATACAAAGATTTGAATTTTCGAATTTCCCAGCAAATTCTGCATATTTACAGTATAATGCTCTATTTATTCACTTGTCAGAACATTCTCAGAAACTGATTGGGAGAGATTCTCAAGAACCAATTATAAAATCATTTTTAATAGAAATATTATTAAACCTGCTTTAATGCAAATTACAAAGCCATACTACATGAATAGTATTGTATAGTATGGAGACTAATACTGAACTGCAGATACGAGGGGCCGGGACAGGGGAGGGGAGGAAGAGGGGAGAGGAGACGGAGGCAGCCGAGGGGAGAGGAGGCGAAGGCAGCCGAGGGGAGAGGAGACGGAGGCAGATGAGGGGAGAGAAGACGAAGGCAGCCGAGGGGAGAGAAGACGAAGGCAGCCGAGGGGAGAGGAGACGGAGGCAGGTGAGGGGAGATTAGACGAAGGCAGCCGAGGGGAGAAGAGACAGAGGCAGACGAGGGGAGAAGAATAACATAGTGCAGAATGCCTATGCCTACATTAGTCTCCCAAAATAATCACCTATGACAGCATGCCCCAGGGGCGTGAACTCCGTATAACCTATGATCTTGCACCATTGGGGGGGTAGCCATGCAAAGTCCGGTTAGCGTGCGGTCAACAATGTTGGTATGGATGTTGGACAACCTGGAGGCCATTATGGGGGAGTCCCTCCACCACCAGCCTTGTTCCTCAGCGCCCGGGGACATTCGAGACGCCATTAAGAGTTCCCCTTACAACCCCTCTGTCGTGTCCTTGTATAAAAGCTTTTCTTACAAAATCCGCATGAATGCGCCTCTTGACAGCTCTTTATCTTGCAAGCTACAGCTTTTGCCAGTTGCTGCTGCTCTTGCCAGTTGCTGCTGCACTTGCCAGTTGCTGCTGCACTTGCCAGCTGCTGCTGCACTTGCCAGCTGCTGCTGCACTTGCCAGTTGCTGCTGCACTTGCCAGCTGCTGCTGCACTTGCCAGTTGCTGCTGCTCTTGCCAGTTGCTGCTGCACTTGCCAGTTGCTGCTGCACTTGCCAGTTGCTGCTGCACTTGACAGCTGCTGCTGCACTTGCCAGCTGCTGCTGCACTTGCCAGCTGCTGCTGCACTTGACAGCTGCTGCTGCACTTGACAGCTGCTGCTGCACTTGCCAGCTGCTGCTGCACTTGCCAGCTGCTGCTGCACTTGCCAGCTGCTGCTGCACTTGCCAGCTGCTGCTGCACTTGCCAGCTGCTGCTGCACTTGCAACTACAGTGTTGCCAGCCTGAACCACTGAAATGGATATATGATTCACACGTTTATAAAACTTTCTGTGGAATTCAATTTGCAACATTGACGTTGTAGTTACTTGGCCAACCGCTTAACGAGCGTGGACCCTCTTGACCGGCGCCCCACTGGCTATCTTGACCCCGCACCCACTGGCTATCTTGACCCCGCACCCACTGGCTATCTTGACCGGTGCACACTGGCTATCTTGACCCCGCACCCACTGGCTATCTTGACCGGTGCACACTGGCTATCTTAACCGGCGCCCACTGGCTATCTTGACCCTGCGCCCACTGGCTGTCTTGACCCCGCGTCCACTGGCTATCTTGACCCCGCACCCACTGGCTATCTTGACCCCCGCGCCCAGTGGCTGCCTTGACCCCGCGCCCACTGGTTATCTTGATCCCGCGCCCACTGGCCACTGGCTATCTTGACCCCGCGCCCACTGGCTATCTTCACCCCGCGCCCACTGGCTATCTTCACCCCGCGCCCACTGGCTATCTTCACCCCGCGCCCACTGGCTATCTTCACCCCGCGCCCACTGGCTATCAAGAGGAAGTCTTGTTCCTTCCGAGTCTTGAGTCATAAATTTTACAATAACATGAGGCTGGCGGTGAGAGCAGAGAGTATACACAAAGTATACCCATAAGAGGGATATACATAGGGTATACGAGTAAAAGCGGTATACAAAGAGAGTACTCATTCTCCCACCCTCACAACCTCTCCCATCACCGCCTCAAGGAGAAAACTGAGCCTCATATTAGCGGCAGAGTTGACAACCAGAGGGGCCCTGATCCCAACATACAAGATCCACAGACACACTGTGAAGGAGAGACTTAATTTAGCCCGGGCGGAGACAGGTTGGAGACTATAACCTCAGCTCAATCCCGGACTACCCATGACTGGAAGACGGGGACTGGGAGCTGGCGCTCAGCGAGCACACGCAGGTGTGTGAGAGGGCACACACACGTGGAGGTGTGTATACACACACACACACACGCACACAGTACGGGGTCTAGGCGGGTGAAACATGTGTTGGTGGGCGGCTGTCACGCCTGCTGACTTGTGGCTCGCTTGTCAGGGTGAGGGAGGGAGGGAGGGAGGGTGAGGGAAGGTGAGGGAGAGAATGCTGTGGAGGGAGGGATTTACGGAGGTTGTGCAGGGGAAAAGGAAGTGATGTGTGTGTGTGTGTGTGTGCGTGTGCGTGTGCGTGTGCGTGTGCGTGTGCGTGTGCGTGTGGGTGAGAGTGAGAGTGAGAGTGAGAGTGAGAGAGTGAGAGAGAGAGAGAGAGAGAGAGAGAGAGAGAGAGAGAGAGAGAGAGAGAGAGAGAGAGAGAGAGAGAGAGAGAGAGAGAGAGAGAGAGAGAGAGAGAGAGAGAGAGAGAGCAGGCCAGACGTAGCAGGGCAACACCCCCCGACCAATCTCCCTGCACTATAAACCACAGGCAAACACTGACAACCCACAATAACGAACTCTTAAAGAGTCCTCTATGAATCCACTGGCACCAGGCTAGCTACTTCAACTACCGCCTAGCCTCACCCGCCGTACCCACGCCAACACTCCCACCTCAACATAACCTAGAGATAAAACGCACTCTGCCATGAGACCAGTATGCCAGCTGGCAAGATCTCACACTGGGAAGCCCTCACTCATACTAGGAAGCCCTCACTCATACTAGGAAGCCCTCACTCACACCAGGAAGCCCTCACTCACACTTTGAAGCCCTCACTTACACTGAGAAGCCCTTACTCACACCAGGAAGCCCTTACTCACACCAGGAAGCCCTTACTCACACCAGGAAGCTCTCACTCACACTTTGAAGCCCTCACTTACACTGGGAAGCCCTTACTCACACTGGGAAGCCCTTACTCACACCAGGAAGCCCTTACTCACACCGGGAAGCCCTCACTCACACTGGGAAGCCCTCACTCACACTGGGAAGCCCTCACTCACACTGGGAAGCCCTCACTTACACTGGTAAGCCCTTACTCACACCAGGAAGCCCTTACTCACACTGGGAAGCCCTTACACCAGGAAGCCCTTACTCACACTGGGAAGCCCTTACTCACACCAGGAAGCCCTTACTCACACCAGGAAGCCCTTACTCACACCAGGAAGCCCTCACTCACACTGGGAAGCCCTCACTCACACTGGGAAGCCCTCACTCACACCATGAAGCCCTCACTCACACTGGGAAGCTCTCACACCAGGAAGCCCTCACTCATACTAGGAAGCCCTCTCTCTCACACTGGGCAGCTCTTATGAAGAGCGTGAGTGGTTCTTACTGGCACATTGTTAGTATGTGAGGCCGGCCAGGCCTCACATACTAGCAGTAGAGCCTACGGGCTCACCATAGCCCGTGCTACTTGAAAGTTGTTCCGAGTAGCTGAATCTATAACAACAGGTAAACCACACTGACATATCTTACCCTTCTATACTGAAGTTCCGTCTGGGAGATCCCGGGTTCTGAATGGTTGTGTGTGGTGGCGCACCAGCCACCACCCTCCGTCCTCTAAAACTGTCAATTTAGCGTGCCCTCTCCTAACCTACCAGAGGACCCCAAAACAGAAAACGGGACAGTACGTACGCGAGCCGCTTCCATTTTCTGATACAATTGTTGGCCTTGTGTGACGCATACGAGCGAAAAGCGACGTTCTCTGAAGGAGGAGGAGGAGGAGAGGTTGGAGGAGCCAGCGGGGAGGAGGAGGAGGACACGGAGGAAGATGAGGGCCACAACTAGCTTAAGTGAGTTGTGACAACTACTTGATGGTGTTCACCTGGCCGCCAGGGGCCGCCAGGGGTCACCAGGGGTCACCAGGGGTCACCAGGGGTCACCAGGGGCTGCCAGGGGTCACCAGGGGCCGCCAGGGGCCGCCAGGGGTCACCAGGGGCCGCCAGGGGCCGCCAAGGGTCACCAGGGGTCACCAGGGGCCGCCAGGGGCCGCCAGGGGTCACCAGGGGTCACCAGGGGTCACCAGGGGCCGCCAGGGGCCGCCAGTGGTCACCAGGGGCCGCCAGGGGCCGCCAGGGGTCACCAGGGGTCACCAGGGGCCGCCAGGGGCCGCCAGGGGCCGCCAGGGGTCACCAGGGGCCGCTAGGGGCCGCTAGGGGTCACCAGGGGCCGCCAGGGGCCGCCAGGGGTCACCAGGGGCCGCCAGGGGCCGCTAGGGGCCGCCAGGGGTCACCAGGGGCCGCCAGGGGCCGCCAGGGGTCACCAGGGGCCGCCAGGGGCCGCCAGGGGCCGCCAGGGGTCACCAGGGGCCGCCAGGGGCCGCTAGGGGCCGCTAGGGGTCACCAGGGGCCGCCAGGGGCCGCCAGGGGTCACCAGGGGTCACCAGGGGCCGCTAGGGGTCACCAGGGGCCGCTAGGGGTTACCAGGGGCCGCCAGGGGCCGCCAGGGGCCGCCAGGGGTCACCAGGGGCCGCCAGGGGTCACCAGGGGCCGCCAGGGGCCGCCAGAGGCCGCCAGGGGTCACCAGGGGCCGCCAGGGGTCACCAGGGGTCACCAGGGGCCGCCAGGGGTCACCAGGGATCACCAGGGGTCACCAGGGGCCGCCAGGGGCCGCCAGAGGTCACCAGGGGCCGCCAGGGGTCACCAGGGGCCGCCAGGGGCCGCTAGGGGCCGCCAGGGGCCGCCAGGGGTCACCAGGGGCCGCCAGGGGTCGCCAGGGGTCACCAGGCAAGATGGCAACATCTCTTCTTCTTGTTGCTGCTGCTGTTGCTAATGCTACAACTACCGTTGTTGCTGCTGCTGTTGCTAATGCTACAACTACCGTTGTTGCTGCTGCTGTTGCTAATGCTACAACTACCGTTGTTGCTGCTGCTGTTGCTAATGCTACAACTACCGTTGTTGCTGCTGCTGTTGCTAATGCTACAACTACCGTTGTTGCTGCTGCTGTTGCTAATGCTACAACTACCGTTGTTGCTTTTGCTGCTGTTGCTAATGCTACAACTACCGTTGTTGCTGCTGCTGTTGCTAATGCTACAACTACCGTTGTTGCTTTTGCTGCTGTTGCTAATGCTACAACTACCATTGTTGCTGCTGCTGTTGCTAATGCTACAACTACCGTTGTTGCTGCTGCTGTGGCAATAGGTGTTGTTACTTCTACCGTTTCCTCTACGGCCTTTAATATATTGTAGAACTTTACGAAACAAAATGCTTGCCGGGAACTGCCATTTAGGACAGACCCATCTGTATGTATCATGTCAGGTGTGTGGTGTGCGCCTGGCCGCACACCACACACCTGACATGATACATACACAAAATCCGTTTCGGGGAGTGTACAAACGCACGCACGCACACGCACACACACGCACACACGCAAAGAACTTTTTTAGTGTCAGAATGGTTGACAAATGGAATGTGCATTAGGGGGTGATGTGGTGGAGGCTGACTCCATACACAGTTTCAAATGTAGATATGACAGAGCCCGATAGGCTCAGGAATCTGTACACCTGTTGATTGACGGTTGAGAGGCGGGACCAAAGAGCCAGAGCTCAACCCCCGCAAACACAACTAGGTGAACTAGGTGAGTACACACACACACACACACACACACACACACACACACACACACACACACACACACACACACACACACACACACACACACACACACACACACACACACACACTTTTAAAGGTATATTTGACACTGAAATAAGTCAGAAACCATTGTATTAGACAACTGGCGGATGTAAAAGTGTGGTCTACAGGTCTCAATCCTACAGGCACAGATAGGTAAGTACACGGGCGGAGAGCGATCGGGAGATCGTAGTCCCAAGGGCCCGGGTTCGATTCCCGCCCGAGGCAGAAACAAATGACAGAGTTCTCAAGTGAGGAGAGCAATAAATACCTTGATGTTTGACAGCTGATACTGTCTGCATCTTGGGGGTGTACTCACCTAGTTGTGTTTGCGGAGGTTGAGCTCTGGCTCTTTGGTCTCGCCTCTCAACCGTCAGTCAACTGGTGTACAGATTCCTGAGCCTACTGGGCTCCATCATATCTACATTTGAAACTGTGTATGGAGTCAGCCTCCACCACATCACTGCCTAATGCATTTCATCTGTTAACTACTCTGACACTGAAAAAGTTCTTTCTAACGTCCCTGTGGCTCATTTGGGTACTCCACCTGTGTCCCCTTGTTCGCGTACCACCCGTGTTAAACAGTCTATGTTTATCTACCCTGTCAATTCCTTTGAGAATTTTGTACGTAGTGATCATGTCTACCGTTACTCTTCTGTCTTCCAGTGTCGTGAGGTGCATTTCCCGCAGCCTTTCCTCGTAACTCATGCCTCTTAGTTCTGGGACTAGTCTAGTGGCATACCTGTGTGTGTGTGTGTGTGTGTGTGTGTGTATTCACCTAGTTGTGTATTCACCTAGTTGTGTTTGCGGGGGTTGAGCTTTGCTCTTTCGGCCCGTCTCTCAACTGTCAATCAACTGTTTACCTTTTTTTTCTCCACACACACACACACACACCCCAGGAAGCAGCCCGTGACAGCTGATTAATTCCCAGGTATCTATTTACTGCTAGGTAACAGGGGCATTCAGGGTGAAAGAAACTTTGCCCATTTATTTCTGCCTCGTGCGGGAATCGAACCCGCGCCACAAAATTACGAGTCCTGCACGCTATCCTGTGTGTGTGTGTGTGTGTGTGTGTGTGTGTGTGTGTGTGTGTGTGTGTGTGTGTGTGTGTGTGTGCGTGCGTGCGTGCGTGCGTGCGTGCGTGCGTGCGTGCGCGCGTGTTAGAGAGACGTATATCTGTTAGATAAGACAGACTAAAATAAATCTGGAGTCAGTACTCTAGACAACCGAAGGTTAGAAAGGCAGGAACCAAGAGCTAACACCCCCGACCCTACTTGCAGAAATAGTCAACACAGAACACATGAGTAGATTCTCGAGTAAGAAGACGAACGCGAAGAAGAGAAAAGCCTTTCCTGACATCTTCAATTCTTGGAGAAGCTCACGAGGAGAAGAGAAAGATGGTCTCCTACCCACACTAACAACTCAGGCAGGTGTAACTGCAGGAACTGTGAATTGGGTGATTGAACACGTGTCAAACAGGAAGTAATAACAAATGCGCAGAGGGCAGTGATGAGTGGAGTTCCGTAGGGATCAATAATTCATGAATTTCTTTCGTTGATGTGAATGTCTTGACAAAAAAAAAGTCTTATGTCTTTCAGGTTGTGCAGATGATGCAAAACTGATGAAAATATTAGGAACGGGATATCACTGTAGATAACCTCACGATAACCTCGAGAAACTATGATCTTTAAGGGCAACAGAAGCGGTCCAAGATATCGCGGCTATATATGTGCACCGAGGGAAGATATCAAGTACTGAACACAGGTGGAGGGAGCAGGGGTCAGATTCACGAAAGCACTTACGCGAGCACTTACGAACCTGTGCATCTTTCCTCAATCTTTGGCGGCTTTATTTACAATTATTAAATAGTTAATGAGCTCCGAAGCACCAGGAGGCTGTTTATAACAATAACAACAGTTGATTGTGAAGATTTCATGCTTGTAAACTGTTTAATAAATGTAACCAAAGCCGTCAAAGATTGACGAAAGATGTACACGTTCGTAAGTACTTGCGTAAGTGCTTTCGTGAATCTGGCTCCAGGACACTCCGGAGACAGTACACCACGACAGGGAGACAGTACACCACGACAGGGAGACAGTACACCACGACAGGAAGACAGTACACCACGACAGGACAGACAGTACACCACGACAGGACAGACAGTACACCACGACAGTAAGACAGTACACCACGACAGGGAGACAGTACACCACGACAGGACAGACAGTACACCACGACAGGGAGACAGTACACCACGACAGGAAGACAGTACACCACGACAGGAAGACAGTACACCACAACAGGAAGACAGTACACCACGATAGGGAGACAGTACACCACGACAGGGAGACAGTACACCACGACAGGAAGACAGTACACCACAACAGGAAGACAGTACACCACGACAGGAATACAGTACACCACGACAGGGAGACAGTACACCACGACAGGGAGACAGTACACCACGACAGGACAGACAGTACACCACGACAGGGAGACAGTACACCACGACAGGACAGACAGTACACCACGACAGGACAGACAGTACACCACGACAGGAAGACAGTACACCACGACAGGGAGACAGTACACCACGACAGGAAGACAGTACACCACGACAGGGAGACAGTACACCACGACAGGAAGACAGTACACCACGACAGGACAGACAGTACACCACGACAGGGAGACAGTACACCACGACAGGACAGACAGTACACCACGACAGGGAGACAGTACACCACGACAGGAAGACAGTACACCACGACAGGGAGACAGTACACCACGACAGGAAGACAGTACACCACGACAGGACAGACAGTACACCACGACAGGGAGACAGTACACCACGACAGGACAGACAGTACACCACGACAGGGAAACAGTACACCACGACAGGAAGACAGTACACCACGACAGGACAGACAGTACACCACGACAGGGAGACAGTACACCACGACAGGACAGACAGTACACCACGACAGGACAGACAGTACACCACGACAGGAAGACAGTACACCACGACAGGGGGACAGTACACCACGACAGGACAGACAGTACACCACGACAGGACAGACAGTACACCACGACAGGAAGGCAGCACACCACGACAGGGGGACAGTACACCACGACAGGGGGACAGTACACCACGACAGGGAGACAGTACACCACGACAGGAAGACAGTACACCACGACAGGAAGACAGTACACCACGACAGGAAGACAGTACACCACGACAGGGAGACAGTACACCACGACAGGAAGACAGTACACCACGACAGGACAGACAGTACACCACGACAGGACAGACAGTACACCACCTCAAAACCCTCGCAGTATACAGAAATAAATAAAAAAGAGACCGTTCAGAACCTTCTTTGCAACCGATGTGAGACGCCGTCTGGAATATGCAGCACCTGCGTGGAGAACAAAGATACACAGAAGCGGGACTGTGAAATTTGAGAAACTTGCCACAAGACTGGTTCCTGATCCGAGAGGATTCCTATATGAGGAATTACAGCACTTAAGAACATTAAAGTAAAAACAAAATGAGAGAGGAGACATGATTACGACATACAAGATTCTTGCAGGAACGCTTGACGCTGAGAGATACAGCCAGGTGAGCACAACTAGGGTGAGTAGAGAGCACACAAGAGAGCCAAGAGAGGCAGGCTGTCGACCACCACAGAGCCTCCACAGAGCCTCCACAGAGCCTCCACAGAGCCTCCACAGAGCCTCCACAGAGCCTCCACAGAGCCTCCACAGTATTCAGCAGCAAGCCGGGCCTCGCTCCCAGTACAGATTGTCCTCAGCCACTGTAAACCTCACTCCAGTATTCCTGTCACGCCGCCCCAATCTCAACACCCTCCCTCCCTCCCTCCCTCCCTCCCTCCCCCCCAGTCACAGTCTCAACACCACTGGCCTACAACAGCCCTCCAACAGCCCGTCTCCAACAACCTCCAACACCCCGTCTCCAACAACCTCCAACAGCCCGTCTCCAACAACCTCCAACAGCCCGTCTCCAACAACCTCCAACAGCCCGTCTCCAACAACCTCCAACAGCCCGTCTCCAACAACCTCCAACAGCCCGTCTCCAACAACCTCCAACAGCCCACCGACAATAGCCGTGTAGTATATCACTGCCAATGAAGACAAAGTTGCCGGGTGGTTGAATTCCTCTCTGGGCTCGGAGTGACGGACGCGTTCCTGACTCTCTCTCTCTCTCTCTCTCTCTCTCTCTCTCTCTCTCTCTCTCTCTCTCTCTCTCTCTCTAAAGTAGCCTTCCTGGCACATCTTGACACACCATGACACATCTTGGCACACCCTGACACATCTTGGCACACCATGACACATCTTGGCACACCATGACACATCTTGGCACTCCCTGACACATCTTGGCACACCATGACACATCTTGGCACTCACTGACACATCTTGGCACTCCCTGACACATCTTGGCACACCATGACACATCTTGGCACTCCCTGACACATCTTGGCACACCCTGACACATCTTGGCACTCCCTGACACATCTTGGCACACCATGACACATCTTGGCACACCATGACACATCTTGGCACACCATGACACATCTTGGCACTCCCTGACACATCTTGGCACACCATGACACATCTTGGCACACCATGACACATCTTGGCACACCATGACACATCTTGGCACACCATGACACATCTTGGCACTCCCTGACACATCTTGGCACTCCCTGACACATCTTGGCACTCCCTGACACATCTTGGCACTCCCTGACACATCTTGGCACACCATGACACATCTTGGCACACCATGACACATCTTGGCACTCCCTGACACATCTTGGCACACCATGACACATCTTGGCACACCATGACACATCTTGGCACACCACGACACATCTTGGCACTCAATGACACATCTTGGCACTCAATGACACATCTTGGCACTCACTGACACATCTTGGCACTCACTGACACATCTTGGCACATCATGTGACATCTTGGCACTCACTGACACATCTTGACACATGACACATCTTGGCACTCACTGACACATCTTGGCACTGTGTGACAGCCACAGCATACAATAGTTTTAAATTATCCCAATGGCAGCCTAGAGATATTTTAAAGTGGTCACAGCCTGACTGCTCCAGACACAGGGCAGGTCACAGCCTGACTGCTCCAGACACAGGGCTGGTCACAGCCTGACTGCTCCAGACACAGGGCTGGTCACAGCCTGACTGCTCCAGACACAGGGCTGGTCACAGCCTGACTGCTCCAGACACAGGGCTGGTCACAGCCTGACTGCTCCAGACACAGGGCTGGTCACAGCCTGACTGCTCCAGACACAGGGCTGGTCACAGCCTGACTGCTCCAGACACAGGGCTGGTCACAGCCTGACTGCTCCAGACACAGGGCTGGTCACAGCCTGACTGCTCCAGACACAGGGCTGGTCACAGCCTGACTGCTCCAGACACAGGGCTGGTCACAGCCTGACTGCTCCAGACACAGGGCTGGTCACAGCCTGACTGCTCCAGACACAGGGCTGGGGCTTGGCTAAACTTCGGGTTAATAAAGATAGGCGCAGCCAGATACAGTCTTTGATAACGATCCCATAAAGCAATTAGACCAACAGGGAATTGGGAATACTTTTGTAATTAGCAAAAGTTACTGCCCCAGCCTCCGGCTCCACTCCCTTTCCCGTGGCCCAATGCACCTTAGGACCCAATTAAATATATACACAATTTAGGTAATCAGTCAGGCCATTTAAGCTGCCAGAAATTGTGTGAAACACAACTCATTTTTAGCAAATTTCAATATGCTTCGTTATCTCACTCGAGTTACTGTTAGGAGTGGTGATTACTAGTCAGAAGTTGTGCTTAGTTAACGGTACAGTGGTGCTAGGAGTTAACGGTACAGTGGTGCTTGGAGTTAACGGTACAGTGGTGCTAGGAGTTAACGGTACAGTGGTGCTAGGAGTTAACGGTACAGTGGAGCTTGGGGGTTAACGGTACAGTGGTGCTTGGGGGCTAACGGTACAGTGGTACTTGGGGTAAATGGTACAGTGGTGCTTGGGGTTAACGGTACAGTGGAGCTTGGGGTTAACGGTACAGTGGAGCTTGGAGTTAACGGTACAGTGGTGCTTGGAGTTAACGGTACAGTGGTGCTTGGAGTTAACGGTACAGTGGTGCTTGGAGTTAACGGTACAGTGGTGCTTGAGTTTACGGTACAGTGGTGCTTGGAGTTAACGGTACAGTGGTGCTTGGAGTTAACGGTACAGTGGTGCTTGGAGTTAACGGTACAGTGGAGCTTGGGGGTTAACGGTACAGTGGTGCTTGGAGTTAACGGTACAGTGGAGCTTGGAGTTAACGGTACAGTGGTGCTAGGAGTTAACGGTACAGTGGAGCTTGGGGTTAACGGTACAGTGGTGCTAGGAGTTAACGGTACAGTGGAGCTTGGGGTTAACGGTACAGTGGAGCTAGGAGTTAACGGTACAGTGGTGCTAGGAGTTAACGGTACAGTGGTGCTAGGAGTTAACGGTACAGTGGTGCTAGGAGTTAACGGTACAGTGGTGCTTGGAGTTAACGGTACAGTGGTGCTAGGAGTTAACGGTACAGTGGAGCTTGGGGTTAACGGTACAGTGGTGCTAGGAGTTAACGGTACAGTGGAGCTTGGGGTTAACGGTACAGTGGTGCTAGGAGTTAACGGTACAGTGGTGCTAGGAGTTAACGGTACAGTGGTGCTTGGAGTTAACGGTACAGTGGAGCTTGGGGGTTAACGGTACAGTGGTGCTTGGGGGCTAACGGTACAGTGGTGCTAGGAGTTAACGGTACAGTGGTGCATAGAGTTAACGGTACAGTGGTGCTTGGAGTTAACGGTACAGTGGTGCTTGGGGGCTAACGGTACAGTGGAGCTTGGAGTTAACGGTACAGTGGTGCTTGGAGTTAACGGTACAGTGGTGCTTGGAGTTAACGGTACAGTGGAGCTTGGAGTTAACGGTACAGTGGTGCTTGGAGTTAACGGTACAGTGGTGCTTGGAGTTAACGGTACAGTGGAGCTTGGAGTTAACGGTACAGTGGAGCTTGGAGTTAACGGTACAGTGGTGCTAGGAGTTAACGGTACAGTGGAGCTTGGGGGTTAACGGTACAGTGGTGCTTGGGGGCTAACGGTACAGTGGTACTTGGGGTAAATGGTACAGTGGTGCTTGGGGTTAACGGTACAGTGGAGCTTGGAGTTAACGGTACAGTGGTGCTTGGGGTTAACGGTACAGTGGAGCTTGGAGTTAACGGTACAGTGGTGCTTGGAGTTAACGGTACAGTGGTGCTTGGAGTTAACGGTACAGTGGTGCTTGGAGTTAACGGTACAGTGGTGCTTGGAGTTAACGGTACAGTGGTGCTTGGAGTTAACGGTACAGTGGTGCTTGAGTTTACGGTACAGTATGACAGGCATGTGGAGTGTGGTCCCTTGTGCCTGTAGCCTCACACCACCCCCTGGTGTGATGGTGGGGCTCCCCTGCTTGCTCAACCCACCACCCCCTGGTGTTGATGGTGGGGCTCCCCTGCTTGTTCAACCCACCACCCCCTGGTGTTGATGGTGGGGCTCCCCTGCTTGCTCAACCCACCACCCCCTGGTGTTGATGGTGGGGCTCCCCTGCTTGTTCAACCCACCACCCCCTGGTGTTGATGGTGGGGCTCCCCTGCTTGTTCAACCCACCACCCCCTGGTGTTGATGGTGGGGCTCCCCTGCTTGTTCAACCCACCACCCCCTGGTGTTGATGGTGGGGCTCCCCTGCTTGTTCAACCCACCACCCCCTGGTGTTGATGGTGGGGCTCCCCTGCTTGTTCAACCCACCACCCCCTGGTGTTGATGGTGGGGCTTCCCTGCTTGCTCAACCCACCACCCCCTGGTGTTGATGGTGGGGCTCCCCTGCTTGTTCAACCCACCACCCCCTGGTGTTGATGGTGGGGCTCCCCTGCTTGTTCAACCCACCACCCCCTGGTGTTGATGGTGGGGCTCCCCTGCTTGTTCAACCCACCACCCCCTGGTGTTGATGGTGGGGCTCTCCTGCTTGCTCAACCCACCACCCCCTGGTGTGATGGTGGGGCTCCCCTGCTTGTTCAACCCACCACCCCCTGGTGTGATGGTGGGGCTCCCCTGCTTGTTCAACCCACCACCCCCTGGTGTTGATGGTGGGGCTCCCCTGCTTGTTCAACCCACCACCCCCTGGTGTTGATGGTGGGGCTCCCCTGCTTGTTCAACCCACCACCCCCTGGTGTTGATGGTGGGGCTCCCCTGCTTGTTCAACCCACCACCCCCTGGTGTTGATGGTGGGGCTCCCCTGCTTGTTCAACCCACCACCCCCTGGTGTTGATGGTGGGGCTCCCCTGCTTGTTCAACCCACCACCCCCTGGTGTTGATGGTGGGGCTCCCCTGCTTGTTCAACCCACCACCCCCTGGTGTTGATGGTGGGGCTCCCCTGCTTGTTCAACCCACCACCCCCTGGTGTTGATGGTGGGGCTCCCCTGCTTGTTCAACCCACCACCCCCTGGTGTTGATGGTGGGGCTCCTCTGCTTGTTCAACCCACCACCCCCTGGTGTTGATGGTGGGGCTCCCCTGCTTGTTCAACCCACCACCCCCTGGTGTTGATGGTGGGGCTCCCCTGCTTGTTCAACCCACCACCCCCTGGTGTGATGGTGGGGCTCCCCTGCTTGTTCAACCCACCACCCCCTGGTGTTGATGGTGGGGCTCCCCTGCTTGTTCAACCCACCACCCCCTGGTGTGATGGTGGGGCTCCCCTGCTTGTTCAACCCACCACCCCCTGGTGTGATGGTGGGGCTCCCCTGCTTGTTCAACCCACCACCCCCACCGTTCCACCAGGTGTCTGGATAATCAGGGCGGCCATCTTTGTACCTCGGGGTCTTCCTCCCCCCTCGGCATTTGCTCATATCTGAGTTATTATTTTCTTCCGTTGATACTCTTCTGTGTTCTATTTTTCTCTGGTGTTCTTCCTAGGAATACTCTGATTATCCTGTGAGACCGTTATTCTTCCGTTCTCAGGTGCGGTACATCCCCCTGGGACACGCAGCGTCACTACACTGTCAGTACTGAAGACGGAGCTGCGCACGGGGCATTCTTCGCACGGGGCATTCTTGGGAAGGGGCATTCTTCGCACGGGGCATTCTTCGCACGGGGCATTCTTCGCACGGGGCATTCTTCGCACGGGGCATTCTTCGCACGGGGCATTCTTCGCACGGGGCATCCTTCGCACGGGGCATCCCAGGAGTGGGTACTCATGGGATGCCCTGGTCACTACACCCTCACCATCCCATGTTATATTAGTGAAGACCAAGTCTAGTATTCACCTAGTTGTGCTTGCAGGGGTTGAGCTCTGCTCTTTCCGCCCGCCTCTCAACTGTCAACCAAATGTTACTAACTACTATTTTTCCCCCACACATACACCCCCCTCCCCCCCAAGGAAGCAACCTGTGACAGCTGTCTAACTCCCAGGTACCTATTTACTGCTAGGTAACAGAGGCATCAGAGTGAAAGAAACTTTGCCTATTTTGTTTCTGTCATCACCGGGGATCGAACCCAGACCCAAGGATTACGTGTTAAGAGCGCTGTTCATTCAGCCATCAGGCCCCCGCCCCTGATTTTGTGTGTGTGTGGGGGGCGCCGCACCAGCTAGGGGGGCCAAACCTGGGCCTGAAGACAAAGAGGCTGTCACCCAAACTGACAACTTGAAATTAAAAAATTCCAATGAGGCTCAAATACAGGTTAAACTTATGCTAAAGTAAAGCAAGTGGCAGGCATGAACGATAGTCTGAGAGAGAGAGAGAGAGAGAGAGAGAGAGAGAGCAATAGATGCCGCAGCGTTA